CAAATCTCCATGAAGAAATGCAGTATTCACATCCAACTACTCTACTTCAAGATCTAGGCTAGCTGCTAAGCTCAAAATTATTCGAATAGAAGTCATTTTGACAACAGGTGAGAAAATATCGTCAAAATCAATACCTTTCTTCCGTTCGAAGCCTTTAACCACCAATCGAGCTTTGTATCTGACCAGCTTTTCATTTCCATCTTTCTTGAGTTTAAAGACCCATTTGCATTTGAGTGGTCTTTTACCCTTTGGAAGTTCAACCAGCTTGTACGTGCCATTTTTCTGTAGAGATTCCATCTCATCTTGCATGGATTTCATCCACTGGTTCTTTTCTGGATGAGACAACACCTCCTTAAGACTTTCTGGCGATGAAGATATACTCTGTGGAAGGGTACCTGCATGACTCTACCCTTGGCCTCTCTGATCTCCTCAGAGGTTGAGGTTGTTCTTCTTCCTGAGTGGGGTACGCCACTTGCTCGACATCATCATCAAGTTGCTCCCCCTGCTCAATAACCTCACCAGGTTGCTTTCCCTGCTCGGCAACCTCGTCGGTCGTACTTTCTGCAATTGTGGGATAGTTAGAAGAAGAAGAAATGGTAACAAGGTTAAGGATTATACCATTCTTTGTCTTCTCTGACTGGTCATCTACTGTTCTAACTTCACTTTCTCGGAAGACTACATCTCTGCTTCTAATGACCTTCTTCTTTACAGGATCCCACAATCTATATCCGAACTCTTCATCTCCATATCCGATGAATATCGAGGGAACGGATTTATCATCCAGCTTTATTTTTTGCTCCTTTGGTACATGTGCAAAAGCTCTGCAACCGAACACCTTCGGATGCGAGTAGGACATCTCCTTGTTGGTCCAAACTCTCTCTGGGATGTCAAACGCCAATGGAACTGATGGACTCTTATTGATCAGGTAACAGGTCGTCTAAACTGCTTCACCCCAGAATGACTTAGGCAGTTTAGCCATTCTAAGCATGTTTCTCACCTTCTCAAGAATGGTGCGGTTCATCCTCTCGGCTACGCCATTGTGCTGTGGGGTTCCAGGAACTGCCTTTTCATGTCTGATCCCATGACTTGAACAGTTAGTACTCTTCAAATTCCCTTGAGGTGTACTCACCTCCATTGTCACTTCTAGGGGTGGCAATTTGAGCCCAAACCCATCTAACCCGCCCAGAAATTAATGGGTTGGGTTACAAATATTTTAGCTCATGGGTCAATTTGGGCTGAGCCCAAGTTAACCCATTATATTTTATAGCCCATTCTGACCCATTTAGCAGCCCAAATATAACCCATAAAACTCACCCAAAACAAAAGGTATCTCAACCCAATTTATATAGAAATTTATTTAGTTGCCCCAATTTATTTTTTTTTTTTTGTACTTTCAATTTTATGTTCTTTTGTTTTTCTGCACCATCCACCCACTCTGCCCTCACCCCCCCCCCCCCCCGCAAAACCCCCCTCCCCTCAAA